GGTCAGAGGGAGAAGCAGACTCCCTGCCGAGCAGGGAGCCCGATGCGGGACTCGATCCCGGGACTCCAGGATCATGACCTGAGCCAAAGGCAGTCGCTTAACCAACTGAGCCACCCAGGTGCCCCAATTTCTAAGTTCTAAATAGAAGGACTTTTATTCTTTTTCATTACATTGTATCCATATTATTGTGAATCAATTTATATTCATGAACTCACCATCAACAAAAATTAAAAGTCATTATACAATGAATTAAATGAGATAGACAGGCTGCTAAAAATCTTAGAGCTAAGGAAATGTCACTTACCTGGAACATCATCATCCTCTTCATCAATGTCTTCTGGTTTTGGTGCTTTGCTATCCAACACTACAAAACGTTTATTTTAATATTAGTTCTTGAGAACAAAGGCCTTTACAGAACACTTATAATGTTCATTCTTTTCTCCTGTCTAAATCTTATATAGTTGTTCAGAAAAAGCCAAAGATTGTCTGATCTAATACCATATTTTTTACTTAACACTAAAATCAATAACACTTTAACTTCATTAGGTATATACTAAATATAGTTGGCAGTTTCAATGGGCAGTGAAGGTAAAATTTATTTGGAAAATGAAATAATTCTGATGAGCTGGAATAAAAAGACATTACAGTTAATTTATTCTACAAATTCCATATGCTTGAAATCAAAAATCAATATTCAAGACTTTCCATCTCTTCTGGTGTACGAAAGTACCCAGCTATGCAGTATGGGCACTGATGTAAAAGGCTCTTTGATTTTTAGGGGTGACAAGACACATTTGAAACCAGGGCTATTGTGGAAATTCACAACTTACAGTTGCCATGCCTATAGTTCAATCAACAATATTAAACAAAAATACAGTTCTCTAATAACAATATCTTCTTCTTGTCATTAGTCAGAAGTGAATATCAAATACTGTCTGTAAAATGTGGTCTGTAGATCTTTTAGGTAGTTAACCTCTCAACTCTATCATTACCAGAATGTATCCATATATTGTATATGCTACATTGCACAGTTTTTAAAGAAACAAATTCAAAAATTTATGAAGCATATGAGCAACATTTTTAAAAGTAAAATTTACATACAAGTAAATCCTTCCAGCATAAAATGGGACACCTTTTAAATCATTAGGTTCTTTAGATTACAGTGGAGAAGGAAAGATACTAAACTGAAATACCTACCTTGCCGAGGGAACTGTTCAGCTAACTTCCTAAGACTTGTTAAGCTGTCAGCACCAAGCTGACTTAATATTCCAGGAAGCATTTCTGTGATTGGTTTGGCTTCTGCATGACCAGTAATTGCAAAGGTGTTAGCAGAAAGGGAAGCTTGGACTTTGGGATTGTTGAAATGAATAACTGTCCCATCATCTTTAATCATGTTCACCTGTATGATCATAAAAGAAAAATGTACTTCACATATTTGGTACAACTAAAACAGTATAATAATTTAGCCAATTATTATTATTATTTATTTATTATTATTATTATTTTTAACAATCCCAAGGTAGTAACTATCTAAGCTGTAGATATGGGTGGAAAAAGACCCTAGCAGCAACAAAGTAAAATGGTGTAGATGGCACAAATTACTAGGATGGTCAAGAAACAGTCATTTTATTATAGAATCTAGATTTTAAATTCAAAGACTTCTACTATGAGAAAGAAGTTCATGCCACATTTTAAAAATAATGGAATTATCAGCCAAGAACTGGCTTCTTAATGAAATTACCCATTGTCTTACCCAATTTACACTATCAAACTAAATTGGTACATTTGGTGGGTGGGGTAGCATCATACTTAGGCAACAAGTTGTAAAGGGGTAATAGTGTATGGTAAAAAATAACCACTGAAAATCCATAAAGAACACTCAGAAATTTAACCAGATGTTTCACTCCTTTGAACACTTAAGTAAATTTACAAAAATTTCAATTTGTTCTCCTCATGTCATTCTTTATAAAAGATTTTGTCAGTTCCTCTAACTCTTTTTTTTTTTTTTTTAAGATTTTATTTATTTGACAGTGAGAATGAGACAGCATGAGAGGGCGAGGGTCAGAGGGAGAAGCAGACTCCCCGCCGGGCAGGGAGCCCGACGCGGGACACGATCCCGGGACTCCAGGATCATGACCTGAGCCGAAGGCAGTCGCTCAACCAACTGAGCCACCCAGGCGCCCCAGTTCCTCTAACTCTTAAGTATAGCTTCTCAACAACCTTCAATAAGCCTTGTAAATGTCAAAGAAGCTCTCCAACCCACTTGCCTGGCCACTTGAACATGCTTTATCAATCACCTTTAAAATCATCCTCACATTCTTTTGGTAGCTTTCACCCACATGAATTGACTGTTTCAGATTTGATTTTTTTTTTTTAATTTTTTTTTAAGATTTTATTTATTTATTTGACAGAGAGAGAGCAAGAGAGGGAACACAAGCAGGGGGAGTGGGGGAGGAAGAAGCAGGCTTCCCGCTGAGCAGGGAGCCCGATGAGGGGCTTGATCCCAGGGCCCTGGAATCATGACCTGAGCCGAAGGCAGACGCTTAACGACTGAGCCACCCAGGTGCCCCTCAGATTTGATTTTATCCACTGCCTGAAAAGGAAGGTTAAACATGCGCTATTTAAAGTATTATTTTTCTCTCTCACTCATGCACTTTCTTATTGTGTTTTAGTAAAGCTAAATTTGCATAAGTTACATGTATAAATAATGTGATTCCACTAGTAGTTGATTCCACTGGGTAAGTTACCTTGATGGTAACATACTTATTATATAAAAAAGTTAGGAAAGTTAACTCTTGGCTACTTTAGAAGCATTTCATGATCCATCCAAAAACTGCCCTTGTCACAATCAAGCAGAGATGCTTGAGAACAGAGATGTTCTCCATGGTCAGTGGAAGTGGGCTTTTCTTCCCAGTGATCACCACCACTGATAGCACCAGAAAGGAAGGGGAACAAAGGGGCTTCTAAATTTCAGGCAAGACCTGGAACACAGAGAAAATAAAGGCAAATCCCCTGGAAAATTGTAACTAAGATCTACAAATAATTTCCAAATTTTCTCTGACAAAAATCACTCTCTGAATTCTATACCGTTCCCTGTATCAGTATTGCAATTAAGGTTCTATTACACACATTACACACAGTAAGCATTCAATCCAGCTGTTCTAAACAAATACCATTGTGAGTTAAAAACAATTTATATTGACTTTAGAAAAAGATAAATTATACAGTTCTGAAGAGAATTATAGCTTAGGTAGAAAAGTTTAACAGTAAAGTGGCCGAAAATTTGGAAGAGGAATGACTTGAGAAGGAGGTGGCATAGTGGATATGGAATGGAATGCTGTTCTGTATCTATCCTAGAGTCACATAATTCTAGTATGGGAAAAGAATAAAGATATGGTAGGACTCTATATTCTAAATCAAGACCAAATCTCTATAATATGTCCAGGCATGAAAAGAGTCTGAAATATTAGTATTTGAGATATTATTATTTACAAATGTTAAAGTCACAAGAGATTTGAAATCAATATTGGTCCCAAAGTCAGGCCATATATTTGTTGAACTTGGAGGTTTTCTAGTTCAAATCCCTTTTATTTTATTTATTTATTTTTAAAGATTTTATTTATTTATCTGAGAGAGAGAATGGGAGACAGAGAGCATGAGAGGGGAAAGGTCAGAGGGAGAAGCAG